CTCAAATCATAATTATAGCAAAAGTAACATGTTTAGATCAAGTCTTTAAACTGATGGCTTATTTTATCCAATATATTTCAAAAACCAAATATTGACAAAAATATTTTACTAGTAAAATACAGCATTTATCTCCAGCTTTTTTTTTTGCATCCTAAACTTTTTTTTCAAAATCCTATTACCTTCAAAGGTTTATTTAGCTTTTTGTGTTATTTTTCAAATTTTATTTCCTTGAATTTTTTTACAAAATCCTAATCGGGCAGATCGTTTGACGGCAATCTTTATTTTATTGTCGAATTTTCATGTTCGCCACTGTTTTTATAACTCGTTACCAATCGTTATTCCCACACGAAGGTATAAATATTTATATTAAACAATTTTTACATTGTAGAAATTTTTCTGTTTGTCAAGTCTATATCTGAGTTTTTCTTCATCGCGAACGGCGCTACAACCGCCTTAGCAAATTGACTAATATTCCGTGTTAGCTGCCTCAAAATTTCATCCTTTTGGACTAGCATTTTACGCATGTTCTCTGGAAATTTCTTAGCTGTAATGCGTAAATTAGTGAGAAGAGTACATTTCATTCTAGGTGAGACTAAAAGTTATTGTCTGGAACTTTTAAAAAACTATTTACAAGAAACATATAGATTGATATTGATATTGATATTGATATTGATATTGATGTTGATATTGATATTAATATTGATATTGATATTGATATTGATATTGATATTGATATTGATATTGATATTGGTATTGATATTGATATTGATATTGATATTGATATTGATATTGATATTGATATTGATATTGATATTGATATTGATGTTTATATTGATATTGATATTTATATTGATATTGATATTGATATAGACATTGATATTGATATTCATAATGATATTGATATCGATATTGATCTCAAGATAATTATAATAATATTTATATTGATATTGACTTTCAATTGATATTGATATTGATGTTAATGTTGAGATTTTAACTAATATTTAGATTGAGATGAAGAATGATATTAACTTTTAAATTATTAAACTATTTATAAATAATATTAAAACCATTTACAATTTTTTGAGGCATACACTGATCTCGTTCTCTCTCTTTCCAGAATCCGTCGACACTACACATAGCCCTTATACCAATAACGAAAACAAATCGTCAAATTGTAGTCTATCCTCCGCATCGGTCACTGCCAAATCGAGCTGCCAGCAAACGTCATCAGTATACGATAAAATAAAGCATCAACAACAACAACATCAATTGCAACAACAGCAACAGCGTCACCAATCGTCAAAACATCACTCGAAAGAACAACAACAACAGGGAACCAAATCTTCTACATCCTCCTCAACACGCTATCACGGTGTGCATCCACATTTTCATCACCACACCGCACCAGCCTACTACACCGACGTCAATCTACATATCCACACCCCGAAGGCTAACGATGTTACGTCACTAAATGAGAATTACCAGAGTGTCTACAGTACACCAACACAATTGGTCAAAGAGCATTATTTTCCCAAAACTAGTACCGCTACAGTAGTACCACCACCAATTGGCACGGGTGCAGCAGTTATTGGCCGCGCCAGCACTACATCGCCCTCGTCGGTGGATAAGCGCGAACGTGAACGCGAACGCAACAAAGCGCCGATCAACGCTTTCGACAGCGCTACTAGCAATACAACAGCTGCACGTGCGGCTTTTTTTCGTGGCGGCTCTGCGGGCAGCAGCGGCTACAACAACAGCGAAAGGCAAAGTCACGAAGCTTTAGCGAAATCGTCGCCAGCATTTGGGCGCCCTACCGAGACAGGTGAATTGAACGATACCACATACACACCATACGTTGACAGTGGTAGTAGTTTTGTTGTTGTTGATATCAATAGCAGTAGTGATTGTAGTAAATTTAATAATAATAATAATAATGTTAAGCAATTAGACAACAACAGCGCGACAGACATAACACAACACGATAGCATAAATCATAATTACAACAACAGTAACATAATATCCATAACGTCCCCCACATCACCGACAGGCACGAATACATCGACAACAACAACATCGGCCGGGCGTAGTCGTAACTCACATCGTTTCGCTGGTAAGAGACGCGCAGTGCGCGTGCGTAGCGAATCCCGACCGATTAGCGCGCTCTATGATATAATATGCAAGGAGAAGGGTCTGGATATTGGTACCAGCACAACCAACGAAGAAGACTCGTCAGCGCCGTCAAACGAAGACGACGCGCATCATAGCGCACACAGCAATCATAATACAAAGAGCAAGAGCAAAGAACGCAACCACCCACATAGCAGTAACAGTAGAAATAATAGTCTAAAGAATAGTAAAGATTACGCAGAGATCTCAAATTGTTTAACCGCGTTCGTGGCCAACTCTTTGTCCAACTATTTGGGTGGCAAGGCATACGATCAATCGAATATGGATCACGCTGCCACCGCATCCGGTGATACAAACGCAACACACGATCGCACAAAGCGTTCACACAAGGTGCGCGCGTCCAGCGGCCACAAGCCAGGCACCAAAAAGCGCAAGGATGTTGGCGGTAAAACAAAAGCGAGCGCGCCGCGTAGTCCTCGCGACGAAGAGCTCAACGGTGAGACCAGTGAAGATTCGAATGAGGCGCGTGCGCAGACCATACTGTCGTCGCGCACCAAGCATCGCGCTGATTGTAGTCGCCGCATGAATGGTACTGAGAAGTCGGCCTCTTTGCCGCCACAGCTGCATGTTATGGCGCACGCCAACACCACCACCTCCACAGGCATGCAACAAAAAGCAACTACTCATACAAATAATGTCGAATCAAATACTCATTTGGATGTGCGCAAAAAGTGCTCCATTCATTGTCGCTGTCATTTGTGTTGCGAATGCCGCTCCTCGAATTCCGCTCATCGCACATCACATTATCCATATGAATATCATCAATCCTCATTACCACCAAACCTGTCATCCGGCACATGTAGTAGCGTACGCTCGCCCAGCACCGCCGATGACGATAGTCTCGGTTACTCCCCCGAAAAGCTATACATTGAACCTGTAAATATGAATTTAAGTGGTATCTCATCTAGCCCTGTTAATGCTAAAAATGCCAATAGTAGTAGCAGTGGTGTAGTGCTTGAGCCAACGTCCAGCATACACTCGGCGCGCAATACCAAAGAGCGTGTTAGTCGCGCCCAGCAACGACGTTTGCGCGAAGAAATGCGTCGTCATACGGATCTGCCGCAATTGGACTCACTCTCGCCATCCTCGCTTAGTAATCTTAGTCAAGTGGTGGGTTCGGCGGAGAAGGCACTGAGTGAAGATGAAGGTGTTGCGGGCGTGAAGCAACAAGACACTCGCACGAGCAGAGCTAGAAGGTAAGTTAAATTTGTATGTAGTTGCTCGTACATCTAGCGCTTTTTAGTGTATGAAATCCTAAGGTATTTTATTATAGTTCTGAGATATGTTCTTAAAGTTGAAATATTTTAGGCTAGCACCGAATATTCAACGTAAACTAACAGAAGTCAGCGCCTAACTCTCGTGATTCTTACACTTAGACCAAGTAGCTACGTAAAGATATCGACCCGAAAGATTTAAAACTTCTAATAGTGAATCACTTATCTAAAGACATATGTATGGGTATTATAGCTGAAATCACCCTATCCTTTGCTCCGATGCCAACACGACGATTTTCATGCACCTTTTTGTCACTAATATACTTGTGTTCGTGATAAAGTAGACTCCCCAAAACAATATCAATGACTTCGTTGCTGAAATTCCATTGGATACCCATATTTCAAGCCAGCTCGTTATTAAATTTTTGTCCATGGTTCCAATCATCAGACAAATCTTTCGCGTCGTAAACAAGAACCTGTCAAATCCACAGTAACTGATATATGGAGACAACATAAAGAAAGGTTATACCTAGCTGGGAAATAAACCAGAATTGACCTGAACCAGTCCGGGTCAATTTTGATCATATAATATTCCTTTACCATACAATGTATCAGTCTGTTTTTATGTCTCTAACATCGAAAAAGCGGATCTATGCCTCAATTCACCTAGAAAGCAAAGCAACTCATTGATCGCCAAATTTCAATAACAAAAAGACATCACCGGTTTTGAGACGCTTTCATGCGCTGGTCATTAAATGTTTGAGCCGTCGTCATAATTGTCTCCTTTGTTTTGAATTCTTTTTTGTTTTTGTATATTTCTTACAATTTGGTTTTTTTTTTTGGTGCGCCAAGATTTTATTGCACTTTCGCTGGCGATATTCAAAGTGGCTCAATGATTTCTTACTGGTTTTCATGGCCCGATTTTTTCTTTTATTAATATTTTTTTTATTCACCTTAGCGACGGAGAATTTGACGTTTCGCTTTATATTTTTATAGTTTTTATTGTATGCAAAAGTTGCTGCACCTCCAATTAGTAGACTGGATAATACCTGCTTCCATGCACAACATAACCGTACTTATATGTCTGCGTATGTATGTATGCGTTTATGTTATCTGCGCAACTGCAACTGGCACTCAGGGGTGCGGCGGCGCCACTCTGGCTGCGACTAACTGCTTATGAATAATTGTCGGCGGTTATGGCATTGTGTCGGTCATCGTCGTGTCTCGTCACTGCGCGTGTCTTGCTGCTCGACACACTGTTTGACCGTCTGCCATCGTTGTCTATTTATTAATTTGCATTGCCAATTGATGGGTGGTGGCGTCAATATTTACTATACATGTGTGTCGTCTGCGCATGCGCGCCGTTCCAATGTCCAAATGTGGGGCGCAAACAAGTATTTCTCTTTTTATTTCTTTGTGTTTATTGAAGCCATGCAACTAGTTGCCTACACACTTTTTTGACCGATTTTCAAGTAGAGTTCGCTGCTATCAACGCGCCTAAATTTTCATGTAATTTGTTATAAACTTTTTTGATAGTCTGCGATTTCTTCGCAGAGCTGTTTTCGCCGCCAACATTTAAAGTCGCACAACGTGTGTTTTTAAGGCGTTTGCTGTTAGTCTACGCAGTTTAATCATATCTTGATCATATTCGTAAATTAAATAACAAGTTGTTGATATTGGTTTGATATCATCAAGTGTAATCCTGAAATTACCATTTAATTTTCATTATAGATATCCTCTATAACAAATAAAAATACTTTAGTATGATCAAATCATTTCTTTTCCTTTGATATACATATACGATAAGTGCGATCCCGATATTTTTCTCAACAAAACAAAGAAACTATCATTATTGTCATTCTTTAATATATTTACACCCTTATTACGTAACTTGATTAATACTGCCCAATACTTTGTACACCGCTTCTCCAAAATTAAACTCCCGGTTGTTTTCTGCGTTTTCAAGTACACTGGTTTCAGTAGCCTTCCTCAAAGTAAAATTCTGTTATAGTATCGAACGCAAGTATACCGACAACTATAATCCAGTGGACTTCTGCAATATGGTTGCTAGTAATAACAACTGTTGGCACATCTTTCAAGCTTGGACCGACATTTTGTGATCCTAAACCCTTTATTAATTTTACTTTAGTATTTCCGTTTAAAATAATTTAATTTAGGTTAGAGTTTTTTTTTTCAAAATTGACGAACCATTTTTATCGGACTTTCTTCTGTATAAATATAAGTTCGATATTTTTATTTCCATATCTGTCTTAAAATCATCAGCTAAATGGACTCGAGATTATGAAATTTGTAATGAGCATTTCTCATTCAAGTTGTCAGTGCCGCTAAGGGAATATACAGTAAAAATCTCCAGCGGCGCTGAAACAAAGGTCTCCCACAGCTGCTGTGATTCTGACCACCTTCGTGAATGAAACCTGTAGAAAATCTCTACTAGAAGATATTGCCTATAAAATGAACTACAATCGAAAAAAAAACTAAAAAATTTACAAAATGGCGGGTTTTTAAAGAAAGCGGTCGAATTTTACCTAAAATTTTGGTCAAATTCGAGTTTTGTTTAGAAGAAAAAACTGGTGGGTCATTGCATGGAGAAGAAAAAATATCAAAATCGCTAAATATAAATATATACATACATATTAGGGTGGATCAAAAAAACAAAAAAATATTTTTTTTTTGGTTGGTGCTCTGAAAAGTAGGTTCTTAGACAGGCATAAGAAAATCTCTCCAATTATGAGCTCTTAATTGCAAAGGGAAGGTCCTCCGCCTTACAGTTTTATATTCATTCTTATTATCAGATATAAAAAAATTTAAATCTGGCTTCCAACTAAAAAAAAAAACAAAAAACTATCTTATTTTATGGATTTTGTAGGAAATTGAATGCTCTACAAGAAGGTCTCTTACGAGTTTTTCGTAAACCTAACCGTTTAAAAGAAATTAACGGTTGAAGTTTTTTTTCCAATGTCGTCGATTGTACCTGTCATTGCGCTTAAGTCGCTCCTCGTTGTGTCATATCGATGGTGTTTCAAGAAAGGTTTAAACTCGGAATAAATACGTACATTCAAAAATATGTATTATTAGAAAAACAAATTCTGAAAGTGATTTCAAAGACAAAGTTTTTTATTTTTTTTTTATTACTTTATTATTACTTGCTTTTTATTACTTTTGCTAAAATTAAGTTGTCACAGACATTTGAATGTCATCAATCCATATTTTTAACCCAGTAATGTTTATTATGACCTCTTAAAACGTATCCATCTATTGTCTGTGTGTATTTGTTGAAAATTTTAGCTAAAATTGAAATTGTTTATGCAAATTACTTTCAACTGTCCGCTATGGTTTTACAGTCGCCAGTCATAACACGGCGTCAAAATTTCACGCCTCATAAAGTCAATTTACCTAAAAAGAAATGCCGCCGCCGGCGACAGCTTAAGAAGCAACAAATACACAAAACAACAATGCTGCGCGCAACAATAGTCGAAATGACAAAATACCAATTATCCGAACGGCCGAATGACAAATTGTCGACAACATTAAATTTATGCATAAAGAAGCCAAAAACAAGAATAGAAACAAAAATTGAAGCTTGAAAAGGGAAACAAATCAAAGAAAGTCATAAATTGAAAGTATGTTAGTATATATGTATGTATGTATTGTATATAAAGGTGTGTTTGTATACATTTCGTTCTTACTATCTTTTATTTATATATATGTATGTATAAGCAACCACAGTTTAGAATTTATTTAAGAAATGGAATTTTCCAACCATTAAATGTTCTACTCGAGTTCAACACTATTTCTTCTCATTCGCTTCGAGTGAGCCGCGGCATCTTTTTGTTGCTTGTTTTATATTTGCTTATATTTTTTCTGGTTTCTTTGCGAGGCAAATAATATGTATATTTGAAAGAGCTGCTTTAAATGCTACTCCGCTGATATACCCTGTAGGAAACACAGAAAGAATTGCTGTCCTTAAAACAAGTTTAGTTATTGGTTTCGAAAGTTTTTCGATGCTAAAAGTTCTATAAATTGCATTTATAATCTTTCAAACTGGAAAAGAAGCTGGGATGTGTAAATTTTTTATTTGGTAAGAAAACAACCGCATTTTATATTCGAGTTAGCTTTTTTTTATTTGCTTTGGCTCATTACAAGTTATTTGAAGTATTTTTTTGACACATCTAGCAAAAGGCCACCTTTATTTGTCATAGTAAAATAAGATTTGTGCTACTCTTTCAATTAATTTATTGAGCCTCTTAATCAGTATAATGATGATTTCGGCACCAACATTTAAATTAGGCATGTCGTTGGTCCAAATATCCCCACAAAAAAAAGTCAGATGAAGGCAAATATGGAGGTTAGACGCTTTTCAATCTGTCTTGTTGAAAGCAGTTACATTTCCTACTATTATATATATATATATATATATCCACCGATATTAATTCGCATCAACTGGCTCATTTTGTTTGAAGAAAACTGCGTCCAAAGTCGTTTCGTGAGTCTGCTCGAGTAAATCCAAGCGATTTTATTTTTCATCCCTAAAGAAATACTTAAAAATATTTTTAAATAAAGCAAATATAAAGTAGAAAAGTTAAAAATTTTAACTTAAAATAGTTTGGTGGTTGCTAAAAACATAAATCCGTGTATATTCGTTTTGTCGTTCTTTCAAATTTTTCTTAATGACAGCATTGCTGCAATTATAAATGATTTTTTCCAACAGGGTAGCATGTTAGTCCACATAAACTCTTCATTCGTTTGTGTATTTATTCAGCATATAGTACACGAAGTTCAAGCCGTAGCACAAGTAGCTGCACCATTATCCGATAAATATTTTAAATTTGTATATTTGTATCTTGCATCGAACGATTATCCAATTCAATATCATAAATTTTAGTTTTAAATCCACTTATGAAACTGAGTCTTGTTCCCTTGCTTTCTTAAAACTCCCAAATTAGTTTAATTCCCTTGATATGTTTCGGTTGCAATAGATGATCTCTTTCGCCGTCCAACTGATCTGTAGCGCTCGTCTTTGGCAGTAATTTTGGTTTCATCCACAGTTTCAAAAAAAAGTGTGGATCAAGAATGTCTTCGCATACAAATTGCATCAGACAGTAACTTTTTGTGTATGCAGAGTGCTTTCGATATTGATCACATTTGAAATACGAAAATTATATTGCAATGAGAAATTTGCTTCATCGCTGAAAATAATTTGAAGGTAAAAACAGTTTGCCTCAAAATTAATTTCCGCAATTTTTTAAAGAAACTTCGGTGAGTATTCGCAAGGTATGTTCAACATAAATGTCAAACACAAATTTTTATCTTGACAGCTGGTTTGACAGCTATCCCTCTAGAAAATTCCACACTTCTAAAAACCACTTACAAAGCCTACCGATTCTTTCCAGCCTGTCATGGTTAATCAAGAATCAAGAACATATCATACCATAGTCTATAGATTCTAACCAAGAATTCAAGAATACCACGAGAATTTTCATCTGTCGCGTCATTTTTTAATACACGTTATTTTGAATCTTACGTCAGAAATTTTATTGCAATTGAACTTTAGTAACGCAATAATGACTCTACGGAACACCTGTTTTATTCAGGTCTGGTTCCATTACGAACATTTGTGATTTACAATTGTTGAATACAAAAGCATGTTCATTCGAAAAATAGGTGTGCAAAAGTCAATGTTGCAATTCACAGCTGAGATCAACACAGTTTGTGGCTGTTTTGCAGCTGGGCCGCGTTGCCGCGTTTTTTCTACCAGTGACGAGTACAATGAGTATTTCACCCAACTGGCGTAAATTGAGTCGCCATTCATTAGGGCGCATATGTATGTGTATAGAATTTTTTTCAAAAGGGTGTTAATTGCGGGTGCGCACCATATATTCTTAAAAATTATAGACAGAGGTTAATACGATTAATGACTCAATAATGAGAAAATATCCATATTAAGTGATAAGAATTTATTCCTGGTGGATACTCTTACATAATGACTCTTTGATTATTATACAATAAAGATTAATTAAACTAATAAAAAGTCACATATAAAAGCCGCTATCGCTTTTGACTGCCAATTAGTGAATTATGATTTTAGAATTGTTTTAATTATATTAATCCAATTAAAACACCCTGTACTGACATGCGTACTTATGCTTATATTTGCCTACCTAAAACTATCTGTTGTTCGACGGTCGGTTTGTTTTGAGTGTGTTTTCTGTTTGTTTTTATTTTGTTTCGCTTTTATCTGTATTTCTGTTACAAAAAACACATTTATACTTCCTTGAGTGATTACATTTTTTTTTGTGGAGTCCAGGTAACCTAGCAGTACATTGAATTAGTTCTCAAACTATTAGTGATTTTATAGTAATTGTCATTAATGTGGCATTTTCTTCAATAGGCCCTTGAAAACATACTTGAATTAAATTAATTCAATAAAGTGCTTATACTCTGAACTAAACCGGAAACTACAAATTTATATTTAGTCTTATCGACTAAGAACGAGAATTACTATTAGAAACACATATATAGGCGCCACATATGTTTTAAAATTATTTTATTTCTCTTAAAACTCTCCTGCTCTTCATTGGAGTTAAAGCGCCCTTTGGTAAAGTCTTCATTGTAATTATATTGAGCGCTGTATCACTGGGTTTGCGACTTTACTATATATATCTTTTTCTACAATTTCTGGGATATCTTTTTAAGAATCACTACAGAAATTCGAATTAAGGTTACAGATCTTTAGATCCTTTCATCTAACTAACATGAATATCTTTGTTTGTAACTTAAAAGCTTTCATTCGATTATAATTTTTTTTAATATGTTCTTTTGTGGTACCGTTGATTTACAGCTCTCTAATAGTTCAAATTTTCAATCTGATATTAAGATTTTGATTACCAACGACTCACTTGGTACTTAATTTACAGAATTCTTTCAGGATGATATGAAAAATTTTTACTAAGCTTTAGGCAATTTGTTTTTAAGAAGATTAACCATCTGAGAAGCTATTCTCCATTCTATATTTTATACCGAGCTCGATGTAGGGATTCAGAATTCGGTACTGCTTCACACCAAGAAGGTTTGCAATATTTTAAGCAGATAGCATTTTTTTAGACCTCAATTTTGGCGAGTTTAGTGATCTGTGATCCACAAATATTAAAAATTCTACAAAAAAGTTTTCTTATTACCCTTAAAAATGTTTATTTATCTTTTTATTGGTATCTTAGTCTGAAGGGGGTTCTAAATATAGAAAGATGCTCATTTGTCGGAATTGCCGATATTAAATCACTATAGCTATAGCATATAGCTGCCATACAAACTGAACGATCAAAATTTAGTCCTTATATGAAAAACTTTTTTATTTGAAAAAATATATTCACGAAATTTGGATAAAATTGTTCAAATCGGGCCACTATACCATATACTTACACACATAGCTGTCATACAGTTTGACCTAAAGACCATTTTTATTTGTGAAGGGTATTATAGTTTCGAAGTTCCGAAGCTAATTGTTTTTTTTCTTAGACTAATAGGTGTTAAGTTCATTAATATAAGCTAATAAGATTAGATACTTGTAATCAAGTACTTCTAGCTGGTTTTATGCCTCTAAATTTTACTACTGGGTATTTTTTTACTACTTTAGTTTGCCAACATACCGGCTTTCTTTCAATTACCAGTGCCCTTTGCCGCCTTAAAATCCAACTCCAAAAAAATTTCGAGTATTTTTCCTTTGCAATTTCAAATGTGATATGCTGCTTTGCCGAAATTTGTATTGGTATGTTTATTTATGCGCGTTTTGACGAATAGCAATAACTTCCCAAATGACAAAAACAATGGTAAACAAAAAGAAAGACACGCATACACGTGCAGGCAACCATTATATATATATACATATATCCATGCAGACGGATATTGCGCGCAACAGCGGCTACAACAACAAAAGCAAACAAAAGAGACTTTTTAAATAAGCTGTTAAACCTGCTGCTCCGCTGGATGGCTGGCTGGCTGGCTGACTGTCTGTCTGTCTTACTGGCTCTTTGCCTGCCCGCTGAAATAGTTGTTACCTCCAGAGGAGAGTTTGTTTGTATGTCGCTTTGTTTGTTTGTATGAGTGTATCTCATAGATACAAATCATGTTTTTGGCTTGTTTTTGTTATTTTGAGTCACTCTGCCTGCCAATAGAGCGCGCTGCGGCTCACCGTTGACTCGCTGGTGAATGTCGTTGGACGATTTGAACGTGCTTGCCAGTAGCTTAGCGTGTTTGGTAACGTTTAGTTGAGCGACAGACGCAAAACTAGTGCAGAATTTAGTTTGCTAACATAACAATAATTAATTGAAAATATTTTTATTTTTTTTCTTTACGTTTTTTTGAAAAGTATTTTATAGACTCAAAAGAGGCTGTGTGGGTGTGTTTATAAAATGTTTAATTTTTAATATAAATTAGTGCTAAAAGTAGTTGTAAATTAAGAAAAATAATTAAAAATTAAAAAAAAAAGAGATAAAAAAATTTGGTTTAAAAATTATATCCTCCAAGAATTTATTCACTTCCAATTTAATTAAAAAACACAATCACATTAACACACCATCATTCTCGTTTCACAGATTTATAAATCGTCCCAGTCGTACACCGTCACGTGGTCGCAGCGCCAACAGCGCGCACAGTTCACCACATTCAACGCGCCGCAACAACCAACACGCCGACACTTCGACATCTTCGTCCTCACCACCAGCCGAATCGTCGCATTGTCAACGCCTAACGGCCGCTACAGCTGGAGACGACTACAGTTTGAGTAACCTTGCGCTGCCACCCGTCAGCCCGAACGCTAGCACCGTTACCATTGAGGATGTAGGCTCGGCCTCCTCTAGCGATCATATTGCCCATATACAATTATCCCCATTAGAAATAATGACCAATTCAGCGACACCAACAACCGAGCTGCGTCCGCCGGCGAATGGCAGTGCCGCACTCGATGTAGGCGAGGCACATCCCGCCGATACGGAGGTGAATGCGGAAGCCGGTACGGCCAATTTTGGCGTTCAGGTGGCCATTTCAGGTGAGTTGAAAGTGATGGATACTTTTGCTGTTGTTATTTTGTGTTTCACTATTCTTTAACTACCGTTGTGTTTATTCATGCACTCGTTTGTTGCAATGAGTTTCTTCTTTCTTTTTTTTGATGGTTTTCATGTGATTTTTTTGCATGGACTTACTTGTTTTGCATCCTAACGGAGTTTTATGAAATAATTTGTGAGATTCGCTGAACTTTTCGTTGTTGCTTTAATGCTCAGCTTAATTGTTATTGTTGTTTTTTTTTTCATAAACTTTTTGCATGATTTTTATAAACTTGAAGAGATTCGGGATTTTCTTATATATTTTCTGATAAAATTTCTTTAGTTTCTTTGTTTGCAATACTTTTAGTTTTTCCTCTTTTTATTTTGATTTTAATTTAGTTTTTTCTCCTTAATGATAATTTCGAAATATTCAAATAAGATAAGGCTGATTATATAATATATTATCTGTAATGTGAAGAAATCTTGCCTTATATTTTATATAAAAAAAAACAAAGATAGGTTTGCTTTTTGGTTTTGCTCTACTAGTTCTCTCACAACAACGGAACAAGAGCATTATTAAAATTTCAATTAATAAATTGTTCTCTGGATGAAAGTCTTATATTTAGTCTCTTTGATTATTCAACAATGAAATTCCTTATGTGTCGATTGCCCAGCATAATCCAGCCAACTTCCGCTAACTTTTGGTATCATCACGAACTTTATTGTTTTATTTTGAACCACCTGGACCCTGGATTACACTGTTGTAAGATTGGAACTATGACCTATGACATTTTAGCTTAATACATATCCGATTAAACTAAATAACTCTTAAATCAAATTATGGTAGATAAAAACTTCTACCAAGAATAGAAACAGAACCGCAAAGCAATTTAGACACATTAATAGTTTTCGCGAGATTATTAAATATTTTTTGGTAGAGCTCATCTACAATATCGAAAATCTATTTTTTTAATAGAAATAGTTCTTAAAAATATATAAACGCTTTTCCAAACACACTCAAAGTGTACAGCGGTAGTCGCTTTTTTAATCGTTTTCTTTATTAAAGCTTTATTGACTTAACTAGACCCTTTATAAAAAAAAATTCTTCAAGCCAAAATATTAACTGTCAGAGAAGTTAATTTTTGCCACCCAGTGTCACCGAGTTGATTGATTTATAACTTATTTTTTGCAAACTCATGCTCTATTTTGTTATACACGCTTTGTTTGATTTTTATTTTTACAATTCAATTCTAACTGACAGCTGTCAAATTCCATTGAAATCAAAGTATGCATACTTTGTAAATTGATATTAAATTGATATTTGAGGTTAAGTATGTGTTTATTGATGGTTCAATGAACATTAAGTTTTAATGCATATGCAATACTGAGTTACATTATTTTTTTTAGGTTATAGATCAGTAAAATATGCGAAATATTGGTAATGAATAAATGATTATGATTTTGAATACATTTTGCTGTTACGAAAGAAAGCCTATGATTTCTTAAGCAAAACTTACTTTACAAATCTCGATATGTATTATATATCCTTAGAATAATTTAAATCTCCTTTTATGGAGTAGACATCCCAGAGTTGGTAAAGTTTTGACTTGCTAGAAATTTACATCTGGTTTCAGATTACTTTTTCTTTATTCAATCTACTGTTTACGATTTACAAAAAAATATCGAATTGCCCACCATAATTAAGTTCTTGTACGGAAAGTTTTTTTTATTTGTGAAGGGTGTTGTAGCTTCGTTGCACCCGAATTTAACGTAATTTCTGTTTTTTTTTTTTTTGAGAGAGATTTTTTTTAAACTGAATAGTAATAAAAGATATGAAATAAAATACAAATCTACGCTATAAATCTACACTATAACAACCGGGCAAAAATTAAAATGCTAAATATGAACGTCACAATCGGACCAATGTGAGATAATCCAAAAGTGAACAGCTGGCTGACCAAGTGGCGGAATCATTGTGCTCAAACAAAACCAAACACCATAATAAACACAAATTACTTCGTTTCAAATTGAGTTGTGTTGTCTACTCTTCCTCGGATTAAGGCCCAGAGGCCATTGTTGTACCGGTTACTTTGTTATTATTTTGTATTAGTTTTTTTTTTTTTTGTAATATGCCATAGAGAAAGAGTAGCAGCAGCAGCGGTGCTGGCCGCACTTGCCTGAGGTGTGTGTTACTACTTCGCTAACATAAATAAATACATACATACATACTCTTATCAATTGATATGCTTGTAACTATTTAGTTGGCTGTTGGCTGTAAGTAGCTTGCCACAGAAAAGTGTGAAGTCAACAAACGCTTTTGGGTGATTTTAACAAATTATAACGGCTCTCTACTCTCATAGTCTATATTTAGCGAGTTTGTGTGTGTGCGTTTGTTTAGCCGAGACTGGAGCCAACTGCGACTGGAGAAATTTCATTTTTTTTTGTTGTTGTTTACTTGTTGTTACTTTACTTAAAAGTGGCCCGCAGCTGGCACAACTTTTTTTTTTGTTTGTTGTTTTTTACTATTGCTTACTCGTATGTATTTCCAATTGATTTACTATTGTCATTAATTTTATTTTTATTTAAATACATTTCACTTTTTTGTTGTTCGCCCTGAAAGCTCCACACATGTTTTCTAATTCATTTTAATGATGCATAAAATTTACATACAAACAAAACAATTGGTTGCAACTGTCACCAGCTGACAATTGTTTGGCCTATGTGCATATGTATTTGTATAGTGATCAGAGCGCAAGTTTTCCAGCTCTGCTTTCTACTATGCATCTTCTTGACCCGCACTCAAGCTCATACCAATAAATTAATGCATTTATCCGTACTTTTGAGATTATTGGTGCTTCAAAATATTGCCGAAGCAACATACGAATACAGTTGGTACTTGGACAAAAAAACCATACATGCGAAAATATGAATTCAACCGCTTTGGAAGCTTTCAGATTGTGCGAAAGCTTTCAAATTGCTTGAAAGCTTTCACTTTCCAAGATAATCAAATCAGCATCAGTGCTGATGGATTACTGGAAAAAATATGAAAGAGTTAAGATTTTTAGTTTTCTATACAGAAAATCTCAAGCAAGATTTTTGACTTGCGATTCCGGTACTTATTTCTTTTCACTTACAGCTTCATATGCTTTGGAAAATTATTTTAGCGCAGAGTTTTTTTTAGACACTTTAGAACTTAATGTTCAAAATATTTATTTTGTAAAAAAACCCAAAAAAAAAAGAATAATTAATCGACTCAATCAATTTTAAATAAACTTTATTTCATATATGTATCCAACAATTCTCGTATATTTCTCTTTATTGAAAAATAATTTTTCAAAAAAAATATCGGTATTTTAGTCTACACAATGATGTGTTTTCTGCACTGTAGCTTTGTTTAGATTTTCACAAATTGCGAATACAGTATATATATTGCCGATTTTTGATACACACAATTATCGATAAAAAATTTAATTATCGATATATATCACTAAAATCTATTCAAAATTCAATATATAAAAATGCTGTATTAGTAATAAAATATCGATAACTTTAATGATTGGGGCAAAAATATCATATTGGAAAAAATCGGTATCGATACTTACATTTTAGGTTAAAAAAAATTAATATCGAGCAAATAGCTAGATTATGTTTAAAATATATCAATATTAAACTAAAATTTATTATAGTTATGATTCAGTAATATCATATTGGAAATAATTTAGTATCCATGCTGATATTTTAGGTCCCAAAATTAGAAAGAATGAATATGAGAGGCACTGTATTCAAAATACCAATTACTTTAAATTCAATACGGTGGTTTTTAAGAATGTTCTTCTCCACAAGCAATTATATTTAATTGTTAACTTTTTTACTCTCTCTTTTACTTAAAAGAGCTCGTAGGTTAGTAGATCGTTAATTGGAGTTTTCTTTGGTATACTTTACAACATTACTTTTGCGCTTAATTTCTTTGCAAATAAGTGTTATTCAGTTTGTTGCTTGCAGCTTCTTTTTGTTTTGTTTGAAAACCCAAATTTGTTAATTATTTATAATATGATCTTCGTTAATTATCTCTTCACTAAATTCCGCTCGCCATTTTTTTTTTAGGAAATTTGCAAATTAACTATATACCCTTCAGCTTTATTTGTAAACGCTTGTAAATTATTCGACAAATATTTTAGCTAATTATACATAATGCCATTTACTATAGCGTTCATTGATTGAATTTTTTTGCTAAATTAAATATTAAATATGTTACTTGGAATTGTTCTTAAAATAAAGAAACTCTAACCTCAATACGCTTTGCAAATCGAGCATCACTACGTCACATCAGTAATATGCATCTCTTTTTTAAATTCAAAAATAAAGTTTCTGAAAATATAGATTCAGTCATAAACTCCCAACATAAGTTTTGTTGTGGAAGACTTTTGACTGAAATTCATTGAATCCAAACCTTTAGCTAGATCAAAATTTTGAAAGTTTGACTTCACTGATATAATTCGCTAATAAACAGAACTCCCAAAATCACCAGTCAGCCTTATGTGATGAGAGAACCATAACATGTCCTTAGATAGAAAAAGTAATTCAATCGAAATCCTGGTATGTATGTCTTCACAAAAAATGTCCACAATTTCTTCGGGCTTACGATATTTTCAGTTCAAGCAAAGCACTAAATTAACGGTGTAACAGCCATGTCGAGGGCACAATAGTCCATAGGTCGCGGTGCATACCTCTATTCAATCTATTGAATGCTATTTTTTGGGAATTAAAATTAAATTAGTGTATCGATTGTTTTAAAATTTCTCCGACGGCATTAAAAAATATCCCTTATTCAGTGCTGCAATGATTCCGGCCTTCTCCTTGCATGAAATCTGAAAAAATAAAAATTGCCGTTCTTAAAAAATGTTGAAATGTTGAATGCCAAAAACTTGGCCTGCCAAAATTCGATTTTTGATCAGATCAAAAAACTGCTAAGACATTGTATGGACAACTATATATGGATAATACAGAAAATTTTGATATTGATCGGATCATTGGCTTTCGAGTAATCACTAAAGCAATTTCAAAAAAGCTTTCTCCAGAAAAAAGGCTTTAAAGATAAACTGATAGAGCTGATTAAACTGCGCGGCTACAATTTAGAAGCCTATAACTAAAAAAATATTTGAAATATGCATTTAAAATTATTATTAGGGTTATTTTTAATGGTATAGCCTATCAATCGCACTAAGTGTGCTACATAATATATTTTACAATTATACCATTATATAATATTTTTGTGATTGATATTTGCTAAAGGCAGCTATATGAAGCGAAATTTAAACTTATCTCTCGTGATTCCATTCTTGTGTTATATATATTTATACTTAAAATTTATTACTTTTCCATAAATTGTTTTCTAAAAACTTCGAAAATTTTCGAATTTTATGAGATTCCACCAATTGCACACAATATTTCACATTTACCGCAATTTAACTGTATTTCTCTATTCTATACATTAAATATTCTCTGCACTGCTCTCTAACTTGGACTTCTCTATTGACTTGCCACATAATGTCATACCATGCAATGCTATGCCATGTCATGCTATGCTATGTTACGTCACGCACCCACATACATATGTACTCACAGCGGCGGAAGCTTTGCGCCAACGCAAATACGATGTCCATACACATAAATCTCCACATAAAAATCCTTCCAAAACTAGCACACGAACCATTACGACTAACAGCACCACGCCCACAATTACAAGTGTCAACGTTACGAATAGGTCGACCACAACAATTGTAAAACAGCGTGACCAACAACAACCCCTTCAATACAACAATAAAAGCAACCACAATAGCAACAATGCTATACATAACAGTAATTGTTGCCACAACAGTTACGCCATGCCTACTGAAACATTTTTGCTTAAACAAAAAGCGGCAATGCTCGCCGCAAGCAGCGCCAACACCAACAGCAACACAAGCGCCACAGTTGTTGTGAGAAAGAAACCGTTATCGCCGCTACAAATCATTGCATTGCCACACAATGCAACCCTGGCAACACCATCTCCAAACGGAACAGCTACAGAGACAACAGCGATAACAGCAACAACAGCGCATCAGCTGAGTCACCAACTTAACGCGCAACAACATCCAACAGATGTTGCTATCCACCGGCAACAACAACTACAACATACGGGACATATTACACAAACGCTACAACGGCGTCCAAGTCCACTTTTAGGCGCACCACTCTCACCCTACGCTATAGCGCGCTCACCGTTGTCGCCATGCGCGTCACCACATTATGTGCGTCCGACAAAAGCGTCGCGTTTGCGGGCAGCCGCCTTGGGTGAGTTGACCCCCCCGAACCATGCAAATAGTGTCGCCCCGTGCTCGTGTAGTTGAGTTTATATATGTAAATAAGTGGTAGCATACATTTAGGTGTAGCGGACAAAGTATGCTTTCATAGTGCTCATAACTCATAAATGACTCACAACGCCTGTAAATATGCTTTGCCTATGCGTATTGCGAAATTAACACTCATCTCGCAAGTTATTCACCCCTAATATATACATACATACATACATATTTAACCATCAGTGACCTATTGATTACGCCCTGGTACAGCAATAACAAAAATAACAATACGTTTAAGAAACCATTGTAAGCGTCTAACATTAGTCTTCGTGGAATTATAACAACCAAAAACTTCGTGACCATTGTGCTAATCAACCTCTACCACGCAATAAACCATTAATCATAATTGTCGTAAAGCGCGTGTAACATAACAGCTTAACCCCACAGCTTTTGAAACGCCTAATAGAACTTCTACAATTTTTTTTTTTATATATTTCCTCTCTATCCCATAAATATAAGCATGTTTGAGCTTAATTCGACGCTACTAACCAACCAACACACCACCCTCTTCCATTCCTTTCTCTCTCTCTCTCTTTCTCTTTATGTCGAACAGATAAGAAAAAGTGCGAAGACGAAACAATTCAGCGTCCACGCTCTCCATGCTATGGTTCTCCCCTAACATCACCGCGTCCAGCAGCATCACCAAAACATCAATCGCCGCGTCTTTCGACAAGCTCATCATCCGACAATCCACGTCCGAACACAGCCGAATCTGAAAGTGATACAAAATTGGCACAGCACTCATCTCTTACAGTAAAACCACGTCTCACATCAACCTCCTCGAATGAGTCACCAACCACCAACAAGAAGCTGATACCCTCAGTTTCTGTATCGGTTAAACAGAATCTCAGCGAATTGCAATTTAATGGTGGTCCTACAAAAACGAGCAATTCGAAATTGAAGAAACCACGCACGACTGCAACTCCCACACCATCAACTGAGTGTACTGCCAAATTTACACGCTCGGCAGGTCGCTTGTCAACGGCTGAAGAATCAGATACGCATGCGCTAGCGAAAGCGACAACAAAACCGCTGCCGCGTCCACGTATCTCCAGCACCATAAAATCGAGTAAGTCGAAATCGACAAATGATCTGAAACCGGCGAGCAGCGATAGCTCGCCCGGCAAAACAGAGCTTAGCCCGGTAAATGGTGTAACTGTGAGTAGTTATTGTAAACTATATTATATTTTTTTGTAAATATATTTTTACCGTTATTATTTTTCTTGCAGCCTGTTGGTCCCTTGGAGGATCGCGATAAATCATCGAAACGCAAATCGAATTTGAATCGTTCGCTCAACGAAGAGGCCACCGTCGATAGTGGTGAGTTGCTGTGTACGATGCAGTTATTTATTTTATATATGTATTAAATCGGATGAAATGAAATTATATCATTTTCATCTTTTCTTATAGTAATCAATCTGAAATATCTGCTGCTAACCGCAAAAATAAGGAAAAATAAGCTATTTTTAAGTATGTATTGACACATAGCGTTTGCAAAGAATTCTTCACTCAGCCAACACAACAAACAATTGCAGAAATCTCTTACGTACAAAATGCGAAGTAAACCAACACACGACTTGCAAACAAGATTTTTCAGCAAAAGTATTTTTTTTTTTTCAAAAGATGAGGTGTCTTATAAACACAAACAGGACCTAATTTACTTATTCTGAAGCTTACTAATCTGGAATTCTTTATAGATCCAATGTACTCACCAATAGTTTATAGCTGCGAAAGTGTTGCATTACGTTACCACTGCGTATTTATTATATTCTAGTTCTTAATTGACATGTCAGAGACTTGAAAATGTTTTTCGAATCTATAAAAGTTGACATCTATTCGAAATTCTCAACTTTTCTTGTTACTCCTGAACTGAGTGTTAATAAACTGAGGAACTCATTCGTCCATTATTCGATTTGATTACCTCATGCAGGTGCCGCTTTGAAAATGCCGCTGGAAAGTTAGATCCGTTATAAATCCACGTTTTCATTTACTTCGTAGGAATGCATATAAGTATATTTTCGTGCTTTTTAATTACTACAAATCTCAACGTGACACTATAAAGCCTAAATAAATCAGGCCTTTATTATATGTCTAATATTAACTCGAAGATTTTTCCAGAAAGGATTGAAAGATAAAAATTGTTTGCGCGTCCAGTTTTTATCAATTAGTACTGCTTAAGTCATGATCAGAAATTATGATTATCATACTCTCAAATACTCCCAAAGCCGCCTAGTAAGTTTCTGTATATGAGGTTCTTTATTGTGGGAACAGAAGATATACCAAATATATGACTTAGGCACCCCCATCATAAAATATATCATACATCGCTATGTTGTATTTTAACCAAAAAAATTTAACGTAGAATAATCAATTGTGAAAGTTACAACTATTGAAGACCATTTTTAGATTTCTGTCAAAGAAAAAAAATTCAAAAAGTCTATCACTTCGAACAAAAAATTTCCACTTGATGTTGATGATTAGGTCCGATCTCTCTATTATACTAAAAAAATACGAAATAGGTGGTCATACCGTATAACTGAACATGCTAGCTGGGCAGTGAAGCCAATGTTGCTTTCCAAATCGATATCTTACTGATAGAATCTACTATAGTCTAACAGATAACAAATTTATTTCTCCAAAATCTGAAAAATGAGTAAATATAGTGTCGTTCCCATGGCAGTTGGGTCTAAGTAACCGGAACGAATTTTGTACGGCCATGAACTGTCAACATGACAGCATTTCTCCAAAAAAAATGTTGTGGAAAGTTTTCTACCGCTACAAAAATAACAATATAAATAGAGGTTAGGTATTTTTTTAGTTGTGAAATTCAGTTGAATGATTCGCTACAAAAATAATTGTCTTGCGTTCATTGACATATAAAAATAGCTATTCGCTTGAATATAGGCCTTATTACATATATTTTTTAACATATAAATAAGCTCTATGATCGCTATTTAACTGTCTAATGATGTCAATGACCCATATTATTATTTTTTATTATTATTATTATTATTCTTTTCGAGTGCTTATGCACTTAACAGGTGTGAATGAGCCACCCTTAATTTCTAAATTGACTTCACTTTAGAAAATTATATAAAAACCATAATTTTATCCGTGTAAACTATAATAGGCGGCTTCTCTTATGTAACGAATACATAGAAATTCCATGACATGGCACGCAAAAAATCCATCATATTTCATTATTCTATATAGAAAATAATTGAGTTGCCGCCTGTCAACTAATAACTGCCGATGATGTTGATAATTATTATGCCGCTGTCGCTGTCTGACTGGCTGTGTGGCTCAAACGCAGTCAACTAACAACGCATTGGTCTTGGTTCAATAATTCCAAGCGCACAACTGGCACATTCCACATTAGGCCAATGCCATTTTCACATCCTTTGCGCCACCAGCAAGCAACCCCACCATGAACTCTTGCGCCCACAAGCATACATATGTATGAGAAAATATGCCTCGCCAAATTACCATAAAAAGCTCAACAATTTTCCTATGAATAATTTCGTTCGATATGCCCACATATGTATGTATGTGTATATCTACACCCGTGGGTACATATGTGGCGCTTACGTACATACTTAATAATTATATTGCTGCTATGCGTGCAACATTTTAGATATAATAGCTTAGTGGTTGGTAATCGCAGAATTTATGTGTCAATACGCTTCGGTACGCACGGCAATTTTTCACGTCTACGGCAAATTCTCCATTAAAAATTTATTCTGTCTGCGCGTTTTGTGTAAAAGCGCCGCCTTAACGCGTCGCGCACAAAAATATGCTACAATTAAATAGAGCTGAAAAATATGTGAAACATTTGCATTTGCGCACATTTATCCTGTGTCAATCCTGTGATCGCTTCTCGGTACTAACACGTGTCACTTGTGTTGAATATGTTGTGCTTTGTAACGGTTTGGCATGTGAGTTTGCATAGAGAATACTAAATTGCTTTTTGTTTGCATAATTTTTGTTGAAGCTCAACGGTTATGTGTGATTATTCGTTATGTTTTTGAATTCAATTCTAACTTCAACTCGACACTCATAATCTAATACCAAAACAGTGTTTTTATTCATTATTTAATTAATTTTATTTATTATATAAATTGGTCAGCATTGCGCTAAGGCCGGTAGAGAGTGAAGAAGTAACTGAAATGAAGACAAGCCGACGTCGCTGATCCTTAAGCAGAGTTGGGAGAGAGAGAAGGCCGCAAGGAATTTTTGACATTTTCTACAAGCGCCAAGTCTAGTAAACTTAGCGCTATGTAGAAAACTAAAAATTTCGGAGTAACTGCGAAAATCTCACTTGTGTGCTCTCATTCAAAATACGCGCCTACTTCAACGACTTAGCAATGCTGATCTTAATGTTAACTATTTGTAATTTTCCTTGCTACCACCGCACTTTCTAAACAAATACCTTGCTCTTTCAGATGACTCCTTAGCAGCGCGTCGTCGTCGTCGCCGTGAGCTCGGCATGGTGCGACAACTCGTGCCACCCGATGATCCAGTACTACGTGAAATGCTATCACCACGTCAAAACAAAACCGACACGTCAGCCAAAAATTTAACGAGCAACAAATCGCCTCACAGCGAATTGGCCTATCACATGGAGATCGCGCGTCGCGGTTGGGATCTAGTCAATCCGAGCGTAAGCAATCGTGCGCGTTCCGAAACAACAAGCCCAAAATATGATCTACACGCATGTGAAAGCTTAATAAGAGAGAGACCAAGTAGCAATCGTTTAGCACGTCGCAGCGATACATTGCATCTGGGCGAATTACGCAAGTTGCGTTCGAACGATGTTAATCGAAAGATGAACGAGCGTACAAAAACCGATTTGGCCGAGATTAAAAAGATTGCCGAACAGGCTAATGTCGAAATGGCTATGATGGCTTCGGGTATCGCAGCTGAATTAGCCGCACAGGCTGTACGTGGTGGTGAGGATTATATCAATAATGATACGGAGGCCAGAGATAGCAACGAGTGTATTGTTGAATTGGCTACGCCGGCACGTTACGGTATTGGTAGTCGTCTACCACCGCCAGCACCATCATACACGGAATTAGAGGTGGCCGCCGAGGCGAAGGAGCGTGATCCGTCACCAGCCAAACATGCCACATTTGTGCAGGAAGAACGCATCTACTATGAACCGGAAGCTGACGAGCAGTTGGCTAAAACCGTCTCGAATACAACAATGTCTGGCGGCATATTGCGGCAGCGTATATTGAAAGCGCGTAGCATGGAACGTGATGCTGGTCACGAACAGCCGAAACTATCACCGATATTACGACGCAGAAGCACAGATGATCCCACATATATACCGGTGCCGACAAGCGTAAGCGTGCACACGACGTCGCCATCCACATCGACACACAACCACATTGTTTCGATACTCAAGAAGAAAGATCATATTGCGGGCGAGTCCAGTTCAGCTTCGAGTAATGCTTCGCCGGTGACATTTTCGGCAAATGTAGTCGATACACCGACTTCGAAACAAAAACGTGCTGGCATACTTAAGAAACGTTCAAGTCTGGACGAGTCACGCTATTACTCGCGCTCACATTCGCCCGATGAGCGCAGCATACTTATTAAATCGGCGCGTCGTAATTCATTAGAGGAGACGGCCGGCTTACAGCAACAGCAACAACATGGCATACTCAAACAGAGCAGCTATGAGAGTAGCAAAAGTGATGGTTGCCCCTCCGCTACTGAACCACATCCACATGGTATATTGAAGAAGAAAGATTCTACCTCGACACCTTCCGATGGTGGCACACATGCGCCAAAACATGTCTCGATCTCACAAGCTGTGAAAATGGCCGCGGCCGAATTAGGTCGCGAAACAGCCGATACGCAAGGGTTGGCTGGCGAACACGATGAGAGCGGCTACACGCCCAACAATGATGAATATGAAATCCGCCCAATACTCAAATTGGAGAGTGTATCCAGCGATGATGCTATGCGTCCACCAAAACCGATATTGAAGAAGAAGTCGTCTGGTGATTCGGACGAATACGAAATACGTCCCATATTAAAGACATCGCGTAAGAGCAGCCGTGAGGAGTTCGATTTGGGCGGCTCAATCAGCGAAGATGGCCGTCATTATAGCGAACCGCCACCACCGATTGTACGTCCAATTCTAAAGACTGATTCACCATCGAAACGACGTTCACTAGGTGGTGAAGAGCTGGAACCAGATGTTTTCAGCGCTGAACAAGTCAGTGGCCAATCACCAAGTTTACTTAAACGGCGTACACGCTCTTTGGAACGTCAAGAAGCGCCCGTGGTGGATTTGGCAGCCGCATTGAATGCCATTGCCACATCACAAGCCGCACCATTGGAGTTTGTGTCCACACCGATCACAACTGGTGGCAGCATTTCCGTTGCAGAGCGTATAAAAAATATGGAAATGTTTCTTAGCAGTAACGGTACTTCACCGTCTACACCAGCAGATACCAACAGTAGTTGGGAATCGCCTTTGCAGTCCGGCGTTACTCCGAAACTGTTCAAACCGAGCGCCATACGTCGCGACATGTACCGCGATCGCTACAAGACGCAACCAATAACGAACGATGAAAAATTACTGTAAGTACAATCACAACTTTCTTTTGTAATTCTAAGTGTAAAATAATGATTTTGAATTATTTGGGGCTCATAATGAATTCTTATCATTTTTTTAAATCTCTTTATTAATTTGCTCTTATGAGGTAAGAAATTAGACAAAGTTCTGATGAACCTTATTCATATTGTTTCGAAATAAAAGTATTGTTGAAAAAAATATTCGTTCGTATGGGAAAGTTAGGTTAGACTCGACATACAAATTTAAGTAAGATGTTCTTGGAATGAAGTAACGTCATTCGATTTTTATAGTGTAAAAGTTGGTCATAGCTTTGTACAGCTATATCAATCACTACGAAGAGTGCAGTTGAGTATTTCCACTATTGTTGCTATTTGTTGATAATGAACATTGTTGCGTTGTAAGTCTAATGTTCATAAGACGAGATCTCTCGAATAAAACCTTTAATACTTAGTCTACACTTTAATAAAATAGTTTTAGGTACGTTTAAAATTCCACTCTAGCCCGCTTTCGGATCCCGAAAAACTTATTTATGACATCTATTTCGGAGAACCAATATTTTTGGAAAGAATTCATCAACTTTTTTAAAGAACAGAAGTAGTTTACTAATTGTTAGACGAATATTTTTTCGTTACAAATAGTTTCATATACAATTTAGAACTACTTCATGTTTTCTTGAACCAATCGGTTGAATAATAAATATGCTATTTTATTATAAATCAGTTTTTTTTGGTAGTTGCCACATTTGTAAAAATCACTTATCAACCAAAAAATCTTTCGTCTTCTTCGCAATTTCTTAAAATACTACAAACTTGTGTGCAAGGAAGTTAGCTGAAAATTGGCAAGTTTCCAGCATTGCTTGTGTCTTCTATTCTTCAAAAAATCGTCTACATATCTTGCGCTCTTGCTGTAGTATGCTCTCTCTAGCTTTATTTCTGATTTCTGTTGCCAGTAAAATATTTGCCGGATTTATTTTTAAATATACTTAAATGGTGAGATTTTCACAGTTACGAATGAGACACAGCTGTCACAGCAATGAATTTCATTTATGTACACTGAAAAAAATGTATGTAGTGAAAAAGTCTATCTGTATATATATATATATTTTTTTTATATACATAAAAGAAATTGAATGAGTGTGCAGGACTATTAAATCTTCGAAAACCATAAACTCTTATTTTCACTCAGAAAATAGAAGACCCAATCAAGTTCCGCTATGACTCGTAAATAAATGTCAGAACTTCTGACTGCGCTCATTTGTTTTTCCATTATTACGTTTAATTTTGTCAACATATAAATATTGTCAAAATTGCGTCACCAAACACCTTTCGTACACAAAATGCAGCCTTTCTATGAAATTCGCCCATAAATTGACCTCAAAAACATTACTCGCGAAATTTTGCACTTACAAACAGGCATATTAGTCAACGATATTTTTGTTGTTTATGTTTTTTTTTTTGGCCACACACCATTGTTTGCTTTATGAAACCTTCATATTTTCGCAAACAAAACTATTTTGCATAAATACATATTTATAAATATTGGTTGCTAACACCGGTAAGCCAAGTGCATATTACGAAAAAAGTGATAATATCAATAGACTTTTCGAAAAAATTATTCATAAAAAAAAATAAACTGTTTTATTTGCCAAGTGATATAAAAAGTAAAAAAATATTCATGAGTCGGTGTGTCCCCAAGCGGATACAAAAATTCATTATCTCTTGCATACACACCCATTTTGTTAAAAAAAAAATAATAGCAGAAAAAAGAAATAATAATAGCAAAAATATAATAAAAGTAAAAAAAAAATAATAGTAAAAAACAATAGCAAAAAATACAATGTAAGCAATAACAATAGAAATTGAAGAATAATGAAAAAAGTTGTAAATATTATTTATGTTAAATAATTATTTGGATGTGCCACCATCACCAACGTGAACCACGCCCGTACAAATAGCAATAAAGCGCTGTTGCCAATAAATGGTTTCCCAAAATTTTCTGTTGACAATGCCGGCCCAACTGGCTGTCCAAACAACAAGTGATGCCGGGTTAAAGAAAAAAATTAATTTTATACCATTTTTTTTTTACTAACGGTAACTGACGAAATGCTTCTCTATTGAATTAGTAGGCGATTGAGTGATTGCGCGAGTAAGCCGTCGCAGCTTTGTTGTTATTGCAGTTGTTTTATTGACAGCAAAATGCTAATCAAGACAATACGGCATATGGTCGTTTTTTTTTCGCTCCAAGTCAAATTTCAATCCCTCATAGACACATTGTTATTTTTTTTTGTGTTTATTTTTAAATATACAGCCGAGAAATAGTTGGTGGCGAAACAATGAGGCTGTTGTGGAGGAAAGTTCAAAACTTGTGCATTTGTATGTCGAGACATTCGTGAATGAAAGGAAAATGTCATCAGCGTAAATTAACCAACTGACTAAGTGTGGCGCAACGGTCAGCGCTGATGAATACACTGACATAAATACATATGTATTTATAAATATTTTCTATACCTCGTAACAGTGATTGCCTTTCCCTTTTTCCATGCCAACATTTTCCAAAATTTTCTTGCAGCTGTGCAGTCGAAACATAGCTACTATATAGGTATAGGTAGGTATACCCATCTGCCATCACCATTTCCATTCGCATTTCTGATATGGTACTGTCACCATCCACAGCGAGCCTCCGACAACGCTTAAGCAGCTTATTTGTTACCTAATAGTATAACTGCATGGTCAGCTGAGTGTGTGACAGTCTAACTGACTGTCTGACTGTCTAATTACTACACTCGGTTCACGGTACTTTTCTTCTCATTTTAGTCTCTCATTTACCGCACTTGAAACATGGATAGCCCGTCATGCTTTCATTCAAACCATGCCGCTGTGTCACCGGCTTCTATGTCAAATAGCTGAAAGCAAGGAAGCAAGTAAATGCCAAGAAATAAAGGTTGTGGAAAATCACAGCAAATAAGTGGCGTATAGATTTTTTGAAAATCTCTTTTTGCACTTATTGCCCAACGCAAGCACTTATTGCTGTAGTACTTGTAGCACGTGTTTGTTGAGTGAATATATGGAATACTTTAGGTGTAGTAAAAAGAAATCCATTATTTTTCCAATAGGTGGCATTATTTATCTGTATCTCGCGTTGTATAAATCCGATCGGTTCGGCTAGATGGCATTAGAAAGATGACATTTCGTACTAAAAAAGCTTTTCTGACAGTTTTGTGATTGGTTGATTCCGTTTTGTTTGAGCGCGCTTCAAAAAGAAAATAGCTATATTTTACAGTTTTGCTTCGATAAGGGCGAAAACGCAAGCCAGGCGATGTCAAAGATGCACCACGCCCGGGAATACCCATTATCGAAAAAATCGCTCAAACAATGGAAATAGCCGAGTCCATCCATTACGATTGTCCAGGACCTAAACATTGCACAAAAAACCGTTTGGAACCGTTTGAATAAGGCTGGATACGAAAAGTAATAATTAAAGCATTTAATTTCATGCAAAAATAATGGATTTCTTTTTAACACACCTAAAATATAATATTTTGTGTTTTTTCAAAAACCTCGTTCGGCGCCAAAATGTAGGCAATATTTTAATATAATTTGATTTATGGCACATATTTTTGTGCTAATTTTTGAATATTATTTGAATGGTCTTTCAAATTGCAGTGTTCAAGGGTATTCGAAAACAGGGTTTAATCATTTTTCAACCAACCTTTTTAGAAAATGTAGAACTCTGATGTCAAAATTGTTGACGCTGGTCAATTAAGTTTGCCACGAAGTTTGTAACACCTAGAAAGACGCGTCGATCATCCGCTGAGTCAATATAGCTATGCCTGTCTTTATGTCTATCCGTCCTTTTATATATACGCGAACTAGACCCTCAGTTTTGAGATATTGATCTGAAATTTCACACATTTGTTTTTCTTCCCAAGAAGCTGCCTATTTGTCGGTAGCGACAATATCGGACCACTATAGCATATAGCTGCCATACAAACTGACCGATCGAAATTTAGTTCTTGTCTACAAAACTTTTTTAAATGAGAAGATATTTTCACAAAATTTGTCACGAATTATTGTTTAAAGCAAAGCTACAATATCCGAACAAATTGTTGCGATCGGATAACTAAAACATATAGCTGTCATACAAACTGATCGATTAAAATCAATATAGTGATCTTTTTATATCGAGTTGTAAGCATTCTGCCCAACTATATAATGCTTCACACTTGTTGTTCGCCTTCGCTGTAAGCTCCTACATTTTATTGTTGTTTACTTTTTAATTTGATTATTACGCGACTTATTGATATTTGTGTGTAAATGCAAAAAAAAAAAAAACAAAATTTTTAATTTTCAATTTAACAATTTCCCATAAAACCACAGAAATTCTATTGACGCACCGACCATGCCGGTACAACAACAATAATGTGCGTGACCAAAGGTATTTACCCAATTGCTGCAACAATAGAATAATCAGCCAAAGAATTGTCATCCATCTGTCCATTCACCCAATTCACCTGCGCAATTTTTCAATAACTTTTTACAACATTCCTTTTTAATATTAGTTGTTGTTTTTGTTTTTGTTATTGTTGCTGTTGTTGTGGTTACGCTCGGTTTTTTTATCGCACGGGCTCATAAATTTTTACAATGGCTAATTAAAGTGCGACGAGAGAGGCGAGATGAGAGCAGGGAACGTTCGACTACAGGCAAGCACACATACATTTGCATACATACATACAAATACATATACATATGCATATGCTCCTAAATGGCTTTATCAATGCGCTGGCATCGCTTTCGCGTTCTTTTCAAGTCGCTCTTCAACACGCCGCGCCACACTTCTACATGGTTTATGCGTGTGTGTGTGTGTGTGTGTGTTGCGCCACCACCCTCCCAGTTAGCGCAAAGTCGTTGTATTTTATTGTCATTTAACTGTTAATTGCAGAAAAAAGGTGTAAAAGGCGTAACAACATAAACAATAACAAATGTAGTTGCAACAAGAAAAACAACAA